CCGCCCCTCACTTGCTGTGCGATCCTGGGCAGGTCGCCCCGCCCCGCCTCTCCCCTGGTCTCCAGAGGAGACTCTGAGAGCAAGTGTGGGAAGCACCGCCACCCACAAAGGCTGGTCCCTCTGCAGCAGGGATGGTCTGGCCCTGGCAGATGGTGAGCCGGGCACGGATGGTCAAGTTGGAAACCCATATCCATTTGGAGAGTTCAGGGTGAGGCAGGAGAGGCAGCAGGGTGCGCAGTTTAAGGCCGCTCCTCTCCCGCCTCACCTGGCCCGCCTCTGGGAGCCAGGACAGTGCGCCCAGGAGGCTGCCCGCTCCCAAACTGTGCAGCAACCTTGAGCCCTCGGAGCACTGGGCCTCCTGCCGGAAGGCAGGCTCAAAGGCACAGAGGCTCCTGTGCGCACCCTCGGAACTTAGGGGAAGAGAAGGAGGTGCAGACTCGGCCTCAGTGCCCCCCCCCCCCCCTATCTCGCCTTCCCTGCCTCCTCCTCCAGCCTGAATCCCGCCTTTTTCCTCTCCTTCCTCCTCTTCTGCCCTGATTCTATCAGGGCCCAACAGGAAACCTGAAACTCCTCCCTCCCTGCTCTGCCTTCAAGCCTCCCTCTGAAGGCAGATGTGGGTCAGCCTTTTATTCTCTGGCCTGTTTATTCTGTGAGGCCACAATAGAAACCCTGGGAGGCCCCAGACCATAAACTTGCAGGAGCCCAGCTATGACCATCACAGAAGCCTACAGCGCATCCAACCTGCATGAGGCCTCAAATCCCAAACTCTGCTTACATGCCTCCCAGGACAGGAGGCTCACCACCTCTGTGACGTGGCCTGGTTCAGGAAGCCCAGATCTGTATCTGGTAACAACTACTGTCCTTCCCTGTGTCTGCTGTGTGTCAGGCCCGGGCCAGGCACTGAAGATACAGGGACGCCGCCCGAAGGCCTTCCCCCATCGGGGGAGATGGACAGTTTGCAGGTCCGTGGAGGAAGGCGGGTGCAGGGTGATGAGCACAGGAAGAAACTGAGGCAGGGTAGAGTGTGAAGGGCCACTGGGGATGCGCAGGCAGGGCAGGCCTCTCTGAGGAAGTGACCCCGAGTAAAGCGAGGGAGTGGGCCACAGGGAGGAGGGTGTCCTGGGCAGATGGAACAGCAAGTGCAAATGCCCTGGGGTGGGTGCAAGTGGTGCCGACAGGAGGCCAGTGTGGCTGTAGCGGGCGTGAGGTGGAGGTCAGGGAGGCAGCGAGGAGCTGGGATTCCAACCCCAGCTGCCCGTCACCTGCAAGGTCGCCAATCCTCCAGGGCACAGGCAGGAAAGGGATCTGCACACTGTCCTGTGCAGCCCAGATCGTGAGGTGGCACCGCGTGACGCATGCGCAACAGCATAAAGCAGCCTCCCATGCGGAGACCTGAGGCAGCTCGGGCCCCAGCGGTCACCTCTGCCTCCTGGACGGAGGATGCAGGGCCGGGTGGGCGCTCCCCAATACTGCAGGGAGTGGGGCTGCCCTGGGCTCCCACCAGCACTGCCTCACCATCCCGAGGACTCAGGTAGAGGCTCAGTCCTCAGGGCACGGGCTGCCAGGGGTGCGAGCGGGCGCTGGCTTTTCCTGGATGCGGTGGGCCCTGCAGATGATGAGGAAACTAAGACTCAGAGGGCAGCCACGTGCCAGGTCCCACAGCTGCCACGTGGAGAATCTGGGCACAGACCCAGGCGCCCAGCCCTAGAACCCACCCCGCCAGCCCCGCTGCCCGGAGCCCCGACTCCTGCCTGACTTGCCGGCACAGTCTCAGCAGGAAAGCAGCACACGGCTCTCTAAGGCTGGGCGCGTGGCCTCCCTGCCCAGCCCCCAGGAGACGCCCTCCGAGACGAAGGCCACGGCCTGCACCAGCTGTAC